TTTCTTTCAACGATGTATACTTTATTATATACAAATCAAAATAAAGAAATGATGTTTACCTACTGGGAAAACCCCCCAAAAAAAGTTTATAAAATTAGTTATATTTTAATATTTAAAAAAAATTTATTTAATTGTTTGTTTGTTTTATTAAAATAAGTTTAATAGATAAATTATGTTTAAATAAAAAATAATAATTAAATCTTTATTTATTTGAAATTTTTATATTATAATAATTTAAATTTTCAATAATTAAAATATTTAAAAAAGAAATAACAATATATATTTTAAAAAGAAAAATAATATTTTTAATTTTATTATTAATATTTTTTTTAAAATAAATAGATTTAAAGATAAAGTTTATCAAAGATTAAAACTATAATAGACTTTATTTCAAATTAAATTTTATTTGATTTCAAGTTTTTTTTTATTATAATTTAAAATTTTTCTTTTTAAAAGATTTTTATTATTTTCTTTTAAAAACCAATTATTTTTTATGTTAAAAATCAATTAAATTTTTTGTATCCCACAATTCAGGCCTTGAGTTGTTTTTTACTTTCATTTTTTTATACCTACAGTTTTAATAAAAAAGTATTTAAGTAAATATAAGTTATATTTATCAAAATTATTTCCATGAATAAAATCCTTCTCCAGTTTTTTTGCCCAACTTTCCGGCATCTACATATCTTTGTAATAATATAGCAGGTCTATACTTGCTATCTCCTATTTCATTGTGCAATATTTTCATAATTGCTAAACAAGTATCCAAACCAATAAAATCGGCCAATTTCAAAGGTCCCATTGGAACGTTTGTTCCAAGTTTCATAGTGGTGTCAATATCTTCTTTGCTGGCAATGCCCTTCAATAAATTAAATACCAAGCAAAAAGAACTTTAAAAAATGTAATTTAAAAAGAAAGAACTGTTATTCTAGTAAGTCTCATACTTGTTCTAAAGCAATCACTGCTTCATTGATATAAGGCATTAGTAATCTATTAGCAATGAATCCAGGAACATCTTGCGATTTAGTATGGGTTTTACCCATAGCTTCAGCCAAATTTCGTGTTACTGTTAACGTTTCATTTGAAGTATCCAATCCTAGGATGATTTCCACAAGTTGCATTACTGGCACGGGATTCATAAAATGCATTCCAATGACCTACATAAGACTTAAAAAATGAATACTTTAAGAAAGACAGATAAGTGATGTATTGAGATTTACCTTCTGGGGCCTCGTTGTAACGGCCGCAATTTTTGTAATGCTAATGCTACTTGTATTTGTAGCCATAATTGCATTTGCATCTAGAAATTTATCTAATTCTTCAAATATATTTTTTTTTACTGAAAAATTTTCCGATACCGCTTCAATTACAAAATCCACGTCCGAGAAATCAGAGAGACTTGATGCATTTGTGATGCGTAGTCTAGTTGAATGTGCGTGTTCGCTTGTCATCTTATTTTTTCCAACGTCTTTTTCAAGCAAACTGTCTATTCTCTTATTAAATAGTTTAGTAGAAAGTATAATAATTAATAAAAGAAACGATCATGAATTAGCATTTACCGACAAATTTCAACCCTTTTTCGATTTGCTTAGGATTAGAATCGTAAATTTTAACAGGTAATTGAGCAACGTTTGCTGCAACCAGCGCAATCCCCATTCCCTGATAAGACGAGCAAAAGAATATAATCATCTTTAATTAAACAAAGTAATATTTGCAATTAAATACTACTTACCATTTGACCCGTTCCTATTACACCTATTTGTTTGATGTTTGTAGTCTAAAATCTTCTATTTTAATCAATTAATTTAAACAATATTATTTAGAAATAAACGTAAACTTACACTGGTAGTCATAGACCTCGAGAATAAAAAACGAAGGTTTCCCTATATAAAAGGTGATTCCTGTATAAATAATCAAAAATCAGCAAAAACTCGTGGTTATTTCTCACCTTCGAAATTTTAATGCTGTTATTAATAGCATAGAATTTACTGGATTGAGGAGAAAGTTGTGAAAAAATCGAACGATTGAAAAAAAATGCCATAATAAGTTTATCGGTAAATATTCAAATCTTTGATTTATACTCAAATTGGATATAGAGAAAAGGCTGCAGGGTATTGCTATTTTTAGTAAAAAGTAATTGTTGGATGTTTTTAAAACTATTAAAAATTATTAAAGGAAAATATATAGTACGAATTATAAATTTTTGAATTGATTTTTTAATATAATTTTCTAAGAATCTTAATTATTATAAAAAAATATATTTAATTAATTAATTTATTTATTTTATTTTATGTTAAATAACTAATTGCCATATTTTATTAATTTATAGTCAAACAAATATTTATTTTATTTATTTAATCTTTGAAAAGAAAACATAATTGTATATGGCTATTTATATATAAATTATTATTTAATATTTGAATATTTAAATATAATTTTGAAAATAAATAAAGTTATTTTTTCTTTTTTTCTATTTTTAAAAAAAGTTTAAATTTATTATTTATATTTATTACTATAATTTATCTTGGCAAAATCTTAATTATATTATATTTTAATTATTTTAATCTTATTTTATCTTATTTTATATAACTTTTATAAGATTAATTATAAAATTATAACTATTTGTAATTTGATTTTTGGTTGTTATAAAAATTTCTAAGTTTTAACTTGTTTTTTTTTTTTTTTATAAATTAGTTAATATATTTACTTTAATTAATTTTATAGATTTTTTATTATATTAAGTTTACTAGTTTACTTTTTCTTTATTTTTTATATTTTAAAATTTTTTATATCAAAATTTTATTATTTTATTAATGATTTCTAAACTGAAATTTTTAATAATTTTTAATAATTATAAAGTTTTTATTTATTTTATAATATTATTTTTAATTCAAAAATTAATTTTTTTTTTTTTTTTAAATTCTTTTCAAATTATTATCTTTAT